GTATAAGTATTTCAAACAGTTCATTATCATCCGTGACTATATAGTCCATGTACGACCTAACTTGTTTAACAACAGTCTTCCATTCTTCTCTGATATTTGCTTTTGTTTACCAATTTCTTATGTACATTTCTTCTAAATTCTGCTGCACACTGTCTTTCCAACGCTTTCTTTATCGCCTGCTTCTTCTGCTGGTTCCTACTTCGTTCTCATAAATCTTAAGCGGTACTCTCACATCCGGCATTCTTATCACATATCCCACCTTTCTTAATCGCTGTTTTTTCACACAGACAGATACACTAAAATAATAATGCATGTAAATCTTATTGTTTATTTATTTAAGTAATGATTTCTGTCATGAATTCTGTAGCCCTACACTTAAACTGCCAAAATTTCACAAGTGTAAGAAAATATTGTTATTTGAATAAAACAACAACAAATTCTAATACACTATATATATATATATTACTAAACAATTCCTTATAAATATTTAAATTGAGTATTTTCTTTTTTGATGTGTATATTATTGACTTTGTTTACTTCTACTTAAACTTGTCGAAATATTTATTCATCACCGGTTCAAAACACTGAAATACATTCATTAAACGGAAATATTTCCTCACTTACCTTGTAAACAAAATAAATAAATTCCAACCAATTTAGTGGGATTTTCAGAATATTGTACACCCAATAAATTACAGACTCCGCAACTTGTAATTTTCACAAATAACTTGGTATATACCTATTCTCCAGCCAGTTTTTGCTGGATTCATAAGAAAAAGCGAATTGAAAGCAGGCTTTACACAGACGAAATGTCGTGTTGTTGTGTGTAAAAGCGACGAATAATAAAATGAGTGTGTATACTAGCTTGAAAGTTGCAGAAGTTATTTTAAGGATTTGAATTTAAATAATTGAAGTTTGGCACGTCTTTCGATTGCTTTGGCGACCAAGTTTAACGCTGCTTAAGGAAAAAATAACTGCTTAACGATTGTGGTTCCTTTTTATTTACCACATTTTTAGAACAATTGTGTGGAAAATGTTGAAATTTAATTTAATAAGTTTTTCTTAACACAAACTTTGTAGCAATTTTAATAGTTAAGAAATGTTTTTGAAATACTTTTTATAAAAGCATATTATAAGAACGTGACTTGCTTGAAATGTTTTGTAAATCTTGTAGTTAATTTTTTGAAATAACAGTCAATATGTGGTAGAAGTGTGAAATTAGTACGGATATAAAACGTGTTATTCGTTTAAGTGTTAGGTAACATTGCTTTAATTATTGTGTTTAAAATAGGTACAGTTATAATAGGCTTTTTCAATGTTAATAGAAAACAGTAGTAAATTAAAAATAATTGAATATTATTTGTCAAATATTGACATGGAAATTGTGAACGCACTTCCGAAAATCGTTCACAATAGACAAATTTTTAGTCTTGGCAACCATGCGATTTTAGCTGCTTATTAGTTAAGCGGCGTCAAAAACGTTGGATTAAATAAGCCAGCAGTGTTGCTGTTTCATATGCTGTTTTTAAAATAAGCGGTTGTTCTTTTGCGATATGCCTACAAAAGAAAAAACCAAATGAATAATTCATTAACATACGATAAATAAAACAGAAATTTGATAAAAATTTAATATTGGTGATTATTTGAGTTTAAAGAACATACCTTTATGTTAAACCTGTTGTATTAAAGCCGTCCTGATCTTTAAATTGATAACATCCCTTTTTCTTTTGTAAGCATGTCGCAAAAAGAATAATATAAAATAAGCACTACTTTCGATGGCAACTCTGGAAAACTAGAGATTATATGTTTTGATATTTGTTAAGAGTTTTATATGAAAATACACAAATATACATATTTGCAAAACACGTAATAAATTTTTCATTAAATTTAGGATAATAAATATGTTAATATTGAGTGTTTTATACAAAAATAATAGCTACACAAAATATGAATAATAATAACAAAAATATATTTGACCGTTATTTGAAAATTGTAAACTTACTTCCAAATAAATATTCACAATAGACAAATTTTTAGTCTTGGCAACCATGCGATTTTAGCTGCTTATTAGTTAAGCGGCGTCAAAAACGTTGGATTAAATAAGCCAGCAGTGTTGCTGTTTCATATGCTGTTTTTAAAATAAGCGGTTGTTCTTTTGCGATATGCCTACAAAAGAAAATGTCATTTAATCTATTTCCCTTAAGCTATTTTTTATTATCAAATATCGAGTCTTTGATTAAAAGTTTTCTGTGGAAATATGGTATAATAAGAAAAATAGACATACTTTTTCAAATTATAATTTTTATTTAGGCTACTCTAGTCTTTTGACTGGGATGCGAATAAAAATTAATTTATATCATTTCTTCACCCGACGCGTTGCGACGTTTATTGGATTTTTTCCGAAATCTTCGGTGGTATTTAAAAGATTTTTTTATTATATAATAATTATAGTTTTATATATATAAACATATATTTTTTCCATGTACTTACGTTATATTTTCGTTTAATATCACAAATCTAAATATTTATTTATATCTGTATTGCAACTAAAAAGAAATGAACGTAGACTTAAATGTAATGTGGAATTATAAGAATTTACTTTATGCTTTACCAAAAACTCTCATATATGCATTAAAGTTTTTTACTATTTTTTAAAAATTTTGTCACGATGTTTGTTAAGTTTCTGAGCATTTTCATGTACAAAATATTAAAAATTGTGAGAAAATTTATAAGCAGTTTACAGCACAGCTACTTGATTTTGTTTTTCCTTTCAGGAGTGCTCAAAATATGTGGTTCACCGGTGTTGGTGTTGTGTATGCAATGCTTTAAGTTGCAATATAATTTGATATACCACACCTGTTACCGTTAAAAACTTACGAATTTCTAATATAAATATGCTTTACGATCTACACCTCAGCTTTATTTAAGTCATGCAATAATTTTGTGACATGAAGTTTATTAAAACTACACCATGGCGTATGAGTTATATTCTTATAAAGTGATTACATTCAAATTTCGTTTGCATAGTTGTAATTTTTCATAATATTATAAAATAAAAAAGTATTTACAATTTATTTAACTTATAAAAATTATTCAGTTTGTAAATTCACATTACCCTTGTGTTTCGTCTATTTGTGCCAATTTTATTTTGTATAATAATAAGTAAAAATATAATATGTCTTACAAATTGCAGGTACCATTGTTTCTTGTAAAAAATCCGTGACGTCTGCTTATTATTATTGGTGTTATTTTAGGATTTTTAATTAAAAAAAAAAATCAAAATAATTATGAATACAATTTTTAATATTTTTCTTGGTCTTATATGGGCAATTAATTCAGTTTCATTGCAATTTTCGAAACGATTGTTGTGTTCTTTAAATGCAAATACAAGATAAAATAATTAAATTACTGGGAATAAATGCCCGGCACTAGATTGTTGGCTGTAGTAGTAGTAAGACTTTAATTATCGCTTATGGAAACAATATGATTTTCCATCATAGTTCTTAATAGCAGCAATTGTAGACTAATAATTACGTAAACTACATAGACGATTGCCAAAAGTATGTTCTGGAGTATTTAAATGGAGATGTAACTAATAATAGAAGATACACCTGTATAATGGCTATGACATCATTTTATTGAAAATCATTTGAAATTTATATTTTTTGGTATAGTATAAAGAAAAAAAGAAATGCACTATTGTATCTATTCATATAACTAATAACTGATTTTAGAAGTAATTCCAAGTGTGCTTTTTTAATGCAGGGATTATATGTGCTTATATATGTATTATATGTATAAGGTTAACTAATCTCACTAAAATAATTTGTAGTTAAAAAT